TATTTCCTTCTCCTGGTGCAAAACTGATTATTTTATCACCATCTTGAGTAATGTCAGGTTCTTGTAATAATGTATCCATAACACCTGATGGTCGTTCAGTTACTTCACACCATTCATCATCAGTGTCATTGTCAACGGAGTCGTTGCTTGCTCGTGTCTCCACTGTTTCTTGATTTTCAATATTCAAATCGTTTGACAGATTATCTGAAGTTTCCTTGGTATTCTTAGTAATAAATTCTGACCACTCTTCGTCCTTATTGACTGAATTTGACACATAATTATCCATTACTTGTATTCCTTCGTTCTGGAATATTTCACTAGTGCGAACCAAGTATTGAGCTGCATCTAAAACTTTCGTAGGTCTAACGTTCTGAAATTGATAATGGTGTTTATAACCAAGCCGTCGTTTCAATTTTATTGGAATAGTTTGTGACTCGTTAATTGGTCTTGGTAAAACACTAACGGTTGTGTTAACGTCAGCAGGAACATTAACTACATTCCCATGAATACTTAATTGACCTCCACTAGGCAATTCCCGTACCTGCATAAAAGGTATTCTCGGCGAAATTAGTCTTTCTTCAAGAGGTGTTAAATTTTTTAAAACCTCGGGCTTTTCTGGGAAAGTCATTTTGTTTGCCTTTGCGCAACTTGGAACTTTACCAACTTTTAAGTTTGAGTGACATGTGCCACATATCCATTCAGTGTTATCAATGCTTTTCAGACCAGTAAGACATAAATTAAGGATTTGTTTTGGACAAGATTTATATAAAGAAACATTGCACTCAGTGACAGATGATCTATACCATAATTGGTCACAACAGGTGCAAATATATTCTGGTCCAACACTAATGTTCTTATGAAATAACTCAGTTGCCTTTGTTACGTCGATTTGTTGTCTCGAATCATCAGAGTTACCAGATATTTGCAGAGTTTCACACGAATTGTCATTCGAATTATCTACTTTATTGTATTTAGTCATTTTAGTTTCACTTTCACCACATTCTAACTTTCTTTTAAGATATTTCCTTTTTTGAGTATCCTTAACTCTTTCCGAATAGTTCTGCTTGTACGTAATATTTGACAATTTTGACAATTCGGCAACCTTTCTAAGATTTAATTTTTTGTATGTTGCAGTGGCTGTTTTATTTGATTCTTTGACCTTTTCAGGATTTGATTGTCTGTATGTTGCAGTAGCTGCCTTAGAACTCTCTTTTACTTTTTCAGGATTTAATTGTCTGTATGTTGCACTGGCTTTTTGGCAAGATTCCTTAATTTTTTCAGAATTCGAGTTTTTGTATTTCTTTTTATATGATTTTTTTCTCTCGCTTTCTTTTTTTTTAAATTCGGTGTTCGACCTTCTTTTTTTCATGTATTCCTTCATGTATTCTTTTCTTTTTTGAATTTTTTTCATTGAGACGGAGTTTTCTGAGATACGTTTATTACTATTACTATTAGATTGCGAATTTTGTGGGTTTGGTTTTTGTTTTTGTTTATCAGTTGCTGTCTGATTTCCTATTTGTTGAGAAGCAGATTGTTCAATTGGCGTTGTAGAAACATAATGCAGTTCGTCAAGATGTCCGATATAAATATCTCTTACATTTCCCTGAGCATAAATAGAGGTTACAACTGTAGTTTCAGTAAAATTTTGCGCACTTTCCGTGATGTGAATTCTTAAATTATTTGCATTCGCAACTGCCTGTATGATAATATGGTCTGCCCATGAGCCTAGCCTTGACATATTTTGTAAATAATGCGACCATGATTGTTCAGTATTAGACTCTATGAAATGTTCTGGGCAGTTTACTAAATGTTGGATTGCAAGAGCTCTTATTTGGGCATGACGACTTTCTGTTCTGTAAAGCTGATGGCTTACACTACGAAATAAACAGTTACCATCACCGACAATGTTTACTGGCTTTCGTCCTATTCGAGCTAGTCTTGTGGTCAATACTGACATATTTGAAATATTTACTGGACCTGGGTTTAACTCTACATCACCAGACACAAATAAGAAATTTCTGTCAGATGTCTTTATTCTTTGCATATTACATTTACTACTGCCCACACCTTTAACGCTGTATGACTTAAATTTATGTTTTCTAGTTCTAACACGCTTTGTACTGTTTTTCAGAATTGCCAACTTGTGCATTGTCATTGACAATTGTTTATGTACAACTCTTCGTATTCTCTTAGACTTCTTAGACCTAAATTTCCACATATATGCATTTGTTTGTTGCTGAATTATATCTTTTCGGTATCTTGTGGAAAGCAAATTGTGAAAGCAAGATGATTTAGGAATACACTGCTTAATAAACCGTTTTATTAAACGCCTACTTTTTCTATTTTTGTTCATCAAATGAACTAACTTTTTAACGGGAATTCTAGACGGCTCTCGATCTCGGCTTTTGACGTGTGTTAAATGTTTACTGCGTGATCTACTTCGACTAAAATTATTATAAGGACAAGTTGATGGCAAAGGTAATACTTCTTTCACTATACTTGCATGTGTGTTGTTGAAATTTGGTAATGCGGTAGAGGTTTGTTTATTTTCTTCTGTACTAGAATTGTGACATGTTTCAGAATAATAAGTCTCATTGACCTTTGACTCATTTCCAAGGTCACCTTGTGTTACATGAGTCACTTCCACGTTTTCGCGTGTATTCAATGTCACTTTCGATTTCAATAATTTCACATTTATAGCAGTGTTTATAGCAGTATTGACAAGCTTTGATATAAATAGATTCTCGTTAGATCTGGTAGAGTTCTCTTTGCACTGAACACGATTTTGCACCGTTGTGCTAGACCCGTGAACAAGGTCTGTGACGGTAACACGCTGGCTACCTCCTTGCCTTTTTCTTCTATTGCATAAAGCTCGCTGGCAAGTCAAGCGATTGGCGATAACACGTGGGCTATCTCCTTGCCTTTCTCTTCTATTGCGTAAAGCTCGCTGGCAAGTCAAGCGATTGACGATAACACGTGGGCTATCTCCTTGCCTTTCTCTTCTATTGCGTAAAGTTCGCTGGCAAGTCAAGCGATTGGCGATAACACGTGTGCTATCTCCTCGTCTTTCTCGTTTAAATAAAGAGCTTTGACGAGTCAAGAGATTTGCTTTAGTGTAGCGCGTTACTTTCTTCGTAAACGCCATACAAACAGCCTTCTGTAAGTTGTTTACGCTCTGCTGAATACTGGTGTGATGCAATTTTCGTTGTGTGGACTTGATGGAGCAGCCAATCATATTATTGAATATTAGCACGTGATGGTGTTATGCAACGCTAATCTCTGAACCCTATATAATCATGTCCATATTTAGACTGCCAAACACGCATGATTGACACGTGCTGCATGTGTGGTTTTAGACTCTGTGCTCCACAGTGTATTTAATTTAATATACTTGCGGTGTCCTACGATATTTTCAGTGTACTGAGTGTAGCAGCAGTAGCACCTTACACAGTAGCTATATATATGAGTATACCGTCTAAATAATGTCGGAACTTAATTGAATGCCCGTAATGAATAACATGAATGCCTAGAATCTCAAAGATTTTCTCAATATTTACGTTTGAAATGTTTATACATTTGAAAACAACACTGTCGCTCCTTCCTAACTCTGTATAATAAATATACCGTCTACATATATCAGTACTTGATTGAAAGACCGTCATGCATAACATAAATTTATATATTGCGTAGATTCTCAAAGATTTACTCAATATTCACGTCTGAAATGTTTATACATTTGAAAACAACACTATCGCTCCTTCCTAGCATCGTGATCTACGGCTTCAGAGCGCATGCGCATTTGCGCTGCTATGAAAAAATCGGGTGTTCCGGGGGAAAGATCCTTTACACAACATGAGAAGCGAATGTTCTAAATTTACAATAACGACAACGATTCCTCTAAATTTTTGTGAACTTGGTAAAAGGACAAAAGAATATTTAAAGAAAAGAAATAAAATTGCTTAAATAACCTTCAAAGCACTGACTAAGTACAATAAATCACTGCGAACATAAATCGTATACACCCCCCGGAAAGTTTACTCCCTGACTGACTGATTCGTGTGAATTCGCCGGCCATCACAACAGTGTGAAGTGAAACTTCACACTAAAAACGAGACATTGTTCACCACACAGAAAAGGGAGGGCAAGCAATTATTATCAGCCTTGATCAAGAGAAAGCCTTCAACAGAGTGGACCAAGACTATTTGCTAAAAGTCTTAGATAAAAAGAACTTCGGCGCAGCTTTCCAACAGTGGATATAAACGCTTTACTACAGAGCCACCGCAACAATCAGCAACAACAGGTGGATAAGTGATCCAGTACCATTACAGCGAGGGCTGCGATGGGGATTTTCTTTCCAAGTGTCCTTCAAAGGCTCCAGCTGTTCAGTGGTCGGGTGTGCCAGTTGATCTGTTCCCGATGCCTCTGCTCCTGTTCCAGCGATTTCTGTTGCAGTGGCTCCAGCGGCTCCTGTTACCTCCTTATCAACAATTGCCGATGTTGGTGCTTCCACCTCGGTTGCAGGGAGGGATGTTGATTTTGTCGCAGCAGTTATTGGAGATTTATTATCATCGGTGGTTGATACAGTTGGTAAAGATACTGTTGCATTGCTCTCTGTACAGTTGCCTAGGGTCTCGTCATTGGTGGTGGAGGACAATGTGTTGGCACCTGGTCCAACTCTGAGTGTTGCAGTTCCATCCACAGGTCAGTCAAGCCCCACGTTAGCGGGCTCCAAACAGGTTCATCCGTCCCGGTCGAAGTCTTGTTCGCCCTTGCAATAAGGGTGGTCATCATTCCCTGTCCTTGCCTCCTAGTTCCTCCAATCCTAGTGACTTATTCGACGATTTTTCATTTGCTTCTTCCCCTCCCCCCCCCCCCGATCTGTGCATCAGATGATGAAGTTATTCCTGATGATCTTTTTTTTGCTTCATACCCTGGACATGATTTATTTGATGACCCACTCACTCAATATCCTCGGAATCTTCCTTGTACTACACCCGGGAGGATTCAATTTCATTCCCGAACCAGCAGCCTCACAGGTCTCTGAAAAATCTTTTGTTGTTGTGCAATTTTTTTGCAAAATCTAACCTTTCTCCTGGTGAGGGGGAATCATCTTAAATTAAGTGGATTTTTTATCCTAGAATTTTATTGTTACAAAATGTTTTCGTATTTATTCTTATTTACAATGGTGCCTAACTCTGTTTCAATTTTAACATTGAATGTTCGGGCACCTAACAATCGTTCCACACTATTTTCCTGGTTAAATTGCATCAAAGCAGACATTATTTGTCCTCAAGAAACTCATTCCACCTCTGCTGATGAATTTGCATCTTGGGTTCGAAGTGAATCTGACAATGGCAATAACCTTCAATGTTATTCGGTGGTCTCATCTCCTGGTTCTGCCCACAGTTCAGGGGTTGCTATTTTGTACAAACCTCTCAAGTTGGCTACGTCCTTTACAGATGATGTTGGTCGTTTTATGATTGCACAGCTTTTGGCTTCTAGTGATTCCTCACCTTTTCAAGTGGTAAATGTATATGGTCCTAATCGTCGGCAGCCTGGGGAGCATTTCTTCTCATCCATTTTGCCTCAGATTGATCCTGCTCTTCATTCTATCCTTTGTGGGGATTTTAATACCGTTTTGAATCCACAGCTGGATCGTATGGGCTGCAATCCATCTTCTTACTGGGCGTACAATTGGCCTCAGTCGTTATCTATTCTTACTCCAAATTTAAACCTGTCCCCAATCGCATGCTAATACCCAAAATACCACTCATGCACCTTCACGTCTTGATAAGAAAGGGTGTTCAGAAGCCTTCTCAAGGTTCTACTGTAACCTAGGCATCTTACTGATCTACAGGATCATTTAAATGTCTTGACGGCAACATTCGGCCAGCTGGCTGGTCTTCCTCTATCTGTTCCCTCTACTCCTGCCACCCTCTACTCCTGCCACTTCACCTACCAAGGAGGTTCCTTTATCACGGGATAAGTTTGATATAGCTATACCTGTATCTTCGCCTCAACAACCTTACTCCTCTCCCTGGTCTGACAACTTCTCTCGTGGCATCACAATTAAGGCTGAGAAAAGGGTTGAG